CAGTCCCAGCACCCTCCTGGCCCTTCCCTCCCACTGGAATCATCCCCAGGCTCCCTCCCTCACCTTTCCATCCTATCCCGGGTCTGTTCCCACCCCATCCTCACGCTCGCCCACCCTCCCCTCACTTTTTCCCCCGGTTACCGACTGCAGCAGAGCCCCGGCCGGGGGCTGCCCCCCTGCGCCGCCCGTGCCCGGCGCCCCCGGCAGGTCATGGCGGGGCCGCTTGGCGGGCACGGGGACCAGCGGGAGGTCGGGGCCGGGCGCGGGGGCGGCGCCGGGGGCAGGGGGTGCCGGGGGCGGTCCGGGAGCGGGGCCGGGGCCAGGCCCGGGGCCCGGGACCTTCCGCTTCTGCTGCTCGATCATGGCGGGCCGCCGGGCCCCGCCCCCCGCGCCTCATTGGCTGCCGGCCCCGCGCACGCCGCGATGATTGGCGGAGCGCGCTGGTTGCCCCGCCCCCTTGACACGCTGCCGGCGCGCCGGGGATGGAGCCGGGAGCGCGGCGCTTTCTGGCGCGCCCAGCGCTGATTGGTGGCAGGCCTGCTCTTGCCAGCATGAGTAACATTGATTGGTTGCACGTGGCCACCCGGCAGCATTGCGCACTGTGATTGGCGGAGAGAGCGGCCCCTCAGGGTGAGGGGGCAATGGCGGGGGCGGGGTTGAGGCCATGGCGGCGCGTTGGTGTTGTTGTCGCGGGCGCTGAGGTATCCCTGCCACCCCAAGGACTCCGGGAAGAGCTGTTCCGTTCCACCGCGCCGGTTCGGGTCAGTCCTGCACCAGGGCACCGCGTGTTCCGCCCGGGTCCATCCCCGCGCCCCCTGAGCCGCTGAACCCTGAGGGCTCTCTGCGGTTTTTCGGGTGTTAATGAAATGTCTCTTTCCGCAGCATCTCGGAGGGGAAATGCGGTAGCGCGGTGTGAATCCAGCTGCCTGTCGCCGGGCCTTTGGAGGCGATGGAGCCGCTGCCGGAGCTCTACTCGATCTTCCAGGGAGAGGTGCGGGGAGGGCCGGGCCCAGCGGCCTAGGCCATGTTTGGTCAGAGTTTATTCTCTTGATTTAGGCACTGTTTAGCGCAGTGGAGGTTTGGGTGTACCGGGTACACACCCCTGTGCCCGTGGGTCTGTGTGTGGCAATAGGAGTGAGCAGCGGGGGAGGTGGGGTTCTGTCCTTCTGCCCCACTCAGGTGATTCCCCATCTGCAGATCTGGGAATTCCAACATCAGGAGGATGTGGAGCTACTGGAAAGAATCCAGAAGAACCCACGGAGCTGCTCCAGGGCTGGAGCCCCTCTGGGAGAGCTGGGGRTGCTCACCTGGRSARGAGAAGGCTCCAGGGAGAGCTCAGAGCCCCTTTTGGGGCCTAAAGGGGCTCCAGGAGAGCTGGAGAGGGACTGGGGCCAAGGGCTGGAGGGACAGGACACAGGGAATGGCTTCCCAGTGCCAGAGGGCAGGGATGGATGGTGTGAAAAACGAGATTCACTTTCTTGTTAAAGAAATTAAAATTTAAAGAGTTTTAAAAGTTAAAATTTAAAGAGTTTTAATAAATGACAATAGGGTACATAAAAGCAAAGGAATACGGCGCTGGGTGCTTGGCGATCTGCCACAGGCACACCGGGTATGCATAGAAACCTCTTTAAATACATTCTGTGTTACATTACATAGCCTAATGCCTATTCATAGACATTTATGCATATTTAAACATGTCCTGTTGTTTTATGCTCCTGGGGTCATGTTTGTGTGACCCCTATTCCACAACTTCAGCAGATGGTCTTTGTTGATAGAGAAGTGTCCATAGCAGGGCCCCTAATGGGTCACGAGCCCCCTGGCCTGTCCATTGCAGATATGGTTGTCTGAAGGTTGGGGGTCCCATCAACCAGGTTCCTTTTGCTGCAAACAATGAATGTTTTTACAAGTTCTTCCGACCAGATATTTTTCCCAAAGCCTGTCCCTTCCACCCCCACCCTTTGGCTGTCAGGGTCTGTGCTGGTCTGGCAGTTGATAGTTTGGGGTGATGGCCTCCCCACCCCGAAGGTGCTAAGCATCTTTGTGAATGTATGCATTCTTTTCCCCAGCTCTGAGCTGTTTCTTATCTTTAAGGACCATTGCCATCAGGGCCCCATGCAGGGTTTTTTTGGTGACTTTCTTTGAAGCTTTTATATAGTTTTGCTATAATATAAAAACATAACTAAACTTCTTCTACAAATAAGGCAATATTATATCATGATGCACAACACATAGGATCTCTCTTTAACATCTGCAAGATCTAACACTACAATATGTGTTTAACACACACAGAGCACTCATTTTAACATTTGAGAAAGCCAACACTATAATATGTGTTTATAACAGATGGGACATTGGGAAGGGATTGTTCCCTGGGAAGGTGGGGAGGGGCTGGGATGGAATTCCCAGAGCAGCTGTGGCTGCCCCTGGATCCCTTTGAGTGCCCAAGGCCAGGCTGGACACTGGGGCTGGGAGCACCTGGGACAGTGGGAGGGGTCCCTGCCATGGCAGGGGTGGCACTGGGTGGGTTTTAAGGTCCCTCCAACCCACCCCATTCCCTG